CGGCCGACGGAGCCTTCGAGGCGAATCGAAGGCTCTGAAACATTGGCCGTCTCGGTACGGCAGCCCGTCAGGCCGCCCAGACGGTGCCGCTGTTGACCCGGAATACACCGATGGACCAGAACCAGCCTGCCGGGTCGGGACGCGATACCCCGCGTCGGTGTATCGTATCTCTTTGGCGGCGCGCTAGAGTGCTGGTAGCGCGTCGCGCGGTCTCTACGAGCTTACTTACTCCTGATACAGTATTAATTTTTAACCGCTCTCGAAAAAAATAATCTTAAGTCGAATTCACAATAAAACGCACCTCGATGAATAAAAAAACGCACATATCACTATCCGTCAAATTGACAACACTGCCAACCAACAGGAAGAATTTAGGGGAATTCCCTAAGCATAGCATTCGAATTTCTCTCATCTGAGTTGTCATGATTAAGGTGGGGTTGCAGCCTGTCATATTTATTTTGAAAATAGGAGAAATTTCCAAAAGTTCAGTTCGATCGAGATTTCTGGTAAGGATTCGAGGGCCCCCTGAGCTTGAGGGCCCCGGGGCACTGCCCCGCCTAGCCCCTGGGTAGCTACGCCACTGAGTGAAAGGCAGTTCGGATTAAACTTGATTTTTGCAACTTTACATGAGAGCCATTTAAAGTTTTAAATATGGAACATTTTTTTATCTATTGCCTAGATGGGTGGACGAGCTCACAGCCCAGGTGGTGTTAAGTGGTTAATGGAGCCCATAGACATCTAAATGCGCCACCCACCTTGAGATATAAGTTCTAAGGTCTCAGTATAGTTACAACGGCTGCGCCACCCTTCAAACCGAAACGCATTACTGCTTCACGGCAGAAATAGGCAGGGCGGTGGTACCTACCCGTGCGGACTCACAAGAGGTCCTACCACCAGCAATTACGCAAATTATAATTTTGCGGGTTTGATTTTTATTACACAGTGGAAGTTAATCGTGAACATTTGTTAAGTAAATAGCAAAAAAAAATACTTCAGATATTTGAATGGAGGAAACTTCATTGAAGTTCAATTAAAACATCATGTTTTTTTTTGCGTGCAGCCGTCTCCATCGTATTATAAGGCATTGTCACGTCAAAAGTTGAAGTTTCTATGGCGTTCTCTTTCAAAGTTTGGTATCAGCATCAACAGTTCTTGGTTTTTAAATGAACTTCAATTAAGTTAAATTCACTCAAATAGCTGAAGAAGTTTTTTTTGTTATGATATTTTTTAACCCCATGATATATTTGAACGGATCTAAGTATGTATTTATCAGTCTCTGATACCCTTCTCTGATACTCTGATACCCTACAGGAAATCCTAATTCGGGTTCGGGTAACCATGCGTGATTTGTTCCCAGCTATTTACTTATCATTTAAACTTAACCTTAGTCGTCTAACTACACGAGAAATAGCATAACCACTCTCACTGGTATTTGATTGGGATTTCGTGCATCATATTGACGAGATGATAGGCTTCGAAGTACAACTTCTGAATGAGCTCAGTTCGCTTTAGCGTGTCAAAGACGCTGTCAGACTTAAATTCCATAGGTCTTTTGACGTGCTCCACCATTTTCTTGTATCTGAGGAGTTGGATATGAGCTTTAGGCGGCATCATCATTGGTTCTAACCTAGTTCTGAAGCGAAGAGTTGGACGTGTGAACTAGCATGTAGACACAACCCACTGAGTTCGACATCTTCTCAGTGGGTCGCGGTTCCGATCCGGTAGTAGATTCAGCGAAGTACCTACCAAAAGCTATGGCCAGTTTTAGTCAGTTCTCTCAGGTTGAGCCCCGTGATTTCACTGTTGTATTAACAATCGCCAAGCTTTATTTATTTATCATCATCATCGGCCCAGTCTCCTACTGCTGGAGAAAAGCCTCTTTCAATTTCCACTACTAAGCCCAGCCTTCGACGATCCTCGACAAATTCCCACCGGTCACCGTTCTAAGGTCATCGCACCACCTAGCTGGGGGCGTCCCACATTACAATTACTGATAGTCGGATTTATTGAAAACCTGGCGGGGTACGTGGTATCTGCGTGCCAGCTTATGCATCAAGATGGATGACAACAATCACGCAAAACCAAGTTGGACTTTAGCTCGATTTTTTCAGATCTACGAACTCCGCTAACCACTCAAAATCGGTTTGGTGAGCTCACGCATCGAATTGAGCGTTAAAAAATTAAATAAATAATCACGGCCCAATCAAACTTTCATACTGAGGCGGTTATGAAATGAAAAAAGACTCTTAAGGGTCATAACTCCCTCAAAAATCCTGTCAATTCAAACATTTACCAACCGTTCTATGATCTCTCCGATCAAATAGCCCATCTCGTATTGCGGCGTTATCTCGTACGTAAAACGTATCGGATTCATCTCCGCTATCCTGTTCGTGACGTCTTCATAATAACTCCTCATCACCTGGAGGAGTCTGGTCGGCACCAACTCACTGAATTCGTACTCATTGTACTTCTGATTGTAGAAATCCTGGGACGCACTTATCTTTCGGATACCTTAAGGGGCAGTGATTGATTTTTTCCAGTTTCACCAGGATAGGTGGGCGAGCCAAGGCTCAGCCAGGAGGGGTGGGATTTGCTAACAGCTACCCCAGCGCCTCCAAAGGAGACTTAACAATTTAAAAGCAGCTGCTTCCGGAATCAATCTATCGGGATCGCGACCCCCTGAGAAGATCGGGCGAGAAACTCTGCGGGCTGATGCATGGGTTAAGTTGCACGTCGAACTCTTTGCCGAGCTCGAGGAGTACGGTTACCGGGGTCCCTAAGCCTGCTCCTAGTGTTAGAGCTGAAGGCGTCTAATGCAACAGTTATAGGATCTAAACGATCCATAAGGATGTGTCTAGGGCCTACAGATCGTCTGGTGGCTAGTGGTCTTCAGAATCGATAGGTACAAACCGTTTTGGAGGACGAGGTTACTGGTGGTAGGACCTCTTGAGAGTCCGCGCGGGTAGGTACCACCACCCTGCCTGTTTCTGCCCGTGAAGCAGTAACGCATTTCGGTTTGAAGGGTGGGGCAGCCGTTGTAACTATACTGAGATCTTAGAACTGATACCTCAGGGTGGGTGGCGCATTTACGTCGTAGATGTCCACCCATCTAAGCAATAAAAAAAAAAAAACTTCGCTACTTTTACTACTACTTACAGAACAAAAGTATAATCATAAAATACATGTTCATAGCTAACAATAAATTTCTACATTGTAAACACGATTAAACACATTGAAACAAGAAGCCTGCCAAGTTTCTATATTGTCCATTACAGATGGCTATTAAAAAAAAATACAATTAAATTTCCTCGTCATTAATTATCCAAATTGAAGTTTGAACGGTTTATTTCGCCGATCTATGATGGAGTTGTTTTTTTATTGTCCTTGTAAGCAGACGAGCATACGGCTCACCTGATGATGAGTGGTTACCGTCGCCCATGGGCTTCAGCAATGCCAGGGGCAGAGCCAAACCGCTGCCTACCGTTAAGTACTCTCCACAAGTCACGTTTGAAGGGCAATTCATAGGGCTCGGGAAACACCGTGGAGAGGAACCATCGTAATTACTGATGGTAGGACCTCTTGTAAGTCCGCACGGGTAAGCACCGCCACCCTGTCTATTTATGCCGTGAAGCAGTGCCTAATGCGTTTCGGTTTGAAGGGTGGGGCAGCCGTTGTAACTATACTGAGACCTTTTAGAACTTATATCTCAAGGTAGGTGGTGGCATTTACGTTGTAGATGTCTATGGACTCCAGTAACGGTTTGTCACCAGATCGACTGTGAACTCGTCCACCCATCTAAGCAATAAAAAATAATAATATTTAAGCGCTTTTAAAGGGATCTTGTGACCGGTAAAATAGAGGGGAAAAGGCCTAGGGGTAGAGATCCCAAACGATGGTCGGACCAAATAGCGGAGGAACTGGGAGTACTCCACCAAGCTACAGAACGGGATTGATGGAGACAGCTGGTTGACGGAATCGGACGGAGTCACGATCTTCAGCAGTGAGGGGATCGGAGAAAGAGAGACAGAGAAAGGGATCTCGGTAAAGAGATCTCTGTCTGTGTCTGATGTCTGGAGCTTGGCTGGGAGGGAAGGGTTTGCTAACAACTGCCACTCAGAGGCCTGAAGTCCGCCGAGGGGTATAAACATGACCCCGCAATCTGACGCATAAAAATAAAACACTCAAACAATTACATTCATATATTATGTACTATTTAAGTAAATTATATTTGTATTCATTTCGCTAAGCACTATTTTTAATCTGTGGTATGAATTCAATATGGGATACCGACACGACCGTAGACAAGTTTTTTTTTTTTTTCATTTTTTTGCGACACGCAAACGGTTTGATTGAGGGCCAACGTGAACGATAGACTATGTGAATTTGTTTCGGAAGGCACGCATTAATGCTGATTGCGGTAATGCGAAAACGGTCGCCATGTTTGTGTGGGGGTGAGCTTGTTAATTGCACACAGCCTAGCCTGGGATTAATTTCTTATAAATATCAAGTTCACAAAATTCTCGTTCGAAGCGCGATACATATAATCGATATTGACGCGACCGTTTTAAGAAATTGTTCTTTTTTTTTCGTATGGCAATTTACTGGTGGTAGGACCTCTTGTGAGTCCGCACGGGTAGGTACCACCACCCCGCCTATTTCTGCCGTGAAGCAGTAATGCGTTTCGGTTTGAAGGGTTGGGCAGCCGTTGTAACTATACTTGAGACCTTACAACTTATATCTCAAGGTGGGTGGCGCACTTACATTGTAGATGTCTATGGGCTCCAGTAACCACTTAACATCAGGTGGGCTGTGAGCTCGTCCACTCATCTAAGGAATAAAAAAAAATTATACTTTTTATGTGCAGACCGTACTAGTCATGTTCGGGTATCAACTTAAATCGTTACCGTATTGGCACACTTAACATCAATCAGACCGTTCGCTTTTCAGTTCTTTAAAAGCGCTTTATTCATACAATTTCGTCAAAAACAATTTATACATAATTATTTTGAAAGTAGGTATATTTAATATACAATTTATTTTAAATAATCTTTCAAAAAGGCGCTATACTTCACACAAAACGTTTTTCGTTTTTTTTTTGTTTTTTTTTTTTTTGTTTTTGTTGTTTTAGAATTTCGCATTATTTTAATGAATTTGTACATCGTTAAAAAATTCCAATTAATAACTAGATAATATAATTATTATTATTAAAAAAAAAAAACATTTTTTATCACTCAGTCACATGATCGTCCACGGCTCGTGCGGAAATGAGCATCACTCAAGACTCAACTCAACTCATCTCCGCTCACTAATTCTCACTTGAGATCACTTTAATTACAATTCGATGTTGCCATGTGGAACCTATAGTCGTTCGACAATATCATGATATCGTCAATGTATGCTTATCTAGCCGAACGATTGCCTTTATCGCAGTTGCATTCTTCCGTCATTGAGTCCAACGACATGAGGCTCTCTTGTGAGGTCCTCAGGCAAGACCTGCATCTAGAGTCTACTGAATTCCCACTCTGTGAGTTGGCGTCTTCCGAAACTGACTCCAAGCTCCTTAAGCTTTCGACTGAAGTCAGTTTATATGAGCGCCTGAATTCTGCTATTTCTTCTTCGGACATGTTTAAAGCCAAGAGCGAATCCCTTGCCATTTTGCCTAAAGAAGAAACCTTTTTCTTCTTCTTTGTTAATAGAGAATCCATTTTCGTCAGTGGACAAGGTTTGTTCAAGCTTTCGGGCAGAGATTTGGGGCTTGACCCGCTCCTGGACCTCAGTTTGGTCCGTCTTTGGGGTATGTCTTTGGGCGTGCTTTCCGGTATCTTGAAGGCTATCGTTTTCGTCTTCCGGTCACTTTTCTCAGCATCCGTGCTCTGTAACTGCGATAAATCTTCTAGAGAGTTTGACTTTTTCAATTTAGCCCTGTCCGGTATTACGGGGGACGCCCTCAATCCCTTCATCTCTTTCGCTGTGAACACCTCCGGTATTTCCAATGCTTCGTCTACTATCAATTCTGGTGACAAATCGACAATCTCTTTAAGTTCCGCTTGTTGGAGTTCTTCAGCTAACGAGCTTTGCTTGTTCGCATCCGGCTCGAAATCTTGACTTTCGTAAGCTAAATAAGCTAACGCGTCCTTCCCCAAGTCGACAGCTTCTAAGTCTTGAGTGATTTTTTCCGTGTTCGGATCGGCGAATCCCTCTAAGCATACAACGTCGCTGCGCGCGTGAAGTTTATCAGCGTCTATATATTCCAATTGAATATGAGCATCGGCCGATTCGTCGCACGTTTCATCTATAACCGCTATAGGGGCTAAGCCGACAGCCTCATCCGCTGTACTCTTCTCCAGCAAAGAGGATACAAAAGCAGCGTTAATTAAAGGCTGGCATTTCATCTGCTTCTCAGTCAGTTCAATGGCAAGAGCTCGGGTCGTGCTAGTGTTGGACGTCAAAGTATTTTCCGGGCTGATATTCTCTTTGATCCCCCTTATGACCTTGCTGGGGAGTTTGTCCACAGTTTGACCAGGATCCGGACTGGATTGTTTCTCCAAGAAATTCTCGGAGCCCGAGGACTTTAAGACGGCTGCGAAGGTCCTCGGTCTGGCCGTATCATCGATTTTAATGTCTTTTACAATCACGCCTGGCGTTCGTCCCAGATTTTTGCCGCCTTCAGTACATGGCGCGACCGATTCGTGAATAATCTTATTTATTTCGTTGGGCTGTCTGAGATCTATTCTACTGCTAACTCTATTCCCGTTAGCGTTAGGGTCCTTTTTGCTTAAATCTATTTTTTGTACTAAATTGTCATCGGTGGTAGGGGCGGTAACTATACTTCTCCCTGCGTCACGAGTCGCGTCCGTCGTCTCCGATATCTGTGGAGCGAATGATTGAAATTCGCTTAAAGTGTTGTCCGTGTCAGTGGATGGAGTTTTCGAGTCCAACCTCTTCGAGAATGACTCATCAACGAATGATACTTGAATCCTTTCGGACAATGTAGAGTCCGTTGTTTCGGACGAGCTGTCGTCCTTTTCGTCCTTGTCCTTATCTATGCTGCTGCCCCACGTCCAGAAGGAGCTAGTCAGTGAGGAGTCCTTCCTGGGCGGGGTGTTGGAAGCCGATTTCCTTTCATCGTCACTCTGAGAGCTCCTCGAAAATATACTCGTCGGATGTTGGAAGATGCTCAAGAGTTTCTCCAAGTGCGACGGTTTCGTGTCTCTGTCCGCCTCGGGTCTTGACACTTGGAAGCTCGATGATGGAGCGACCCAGGATTTCTTTCTAGCTCGTTCCAAGCCTTTACTTTTAAGTGCCGGTACATCCATCAAGCTGGATGCTCTCTTCGGGGATGACGTCAGGGTTTCCTCTGTAGGATTCTTCTTTGTATCCCTCAAACTCGAGTTATTCGTCAACGTGCCCTCGTTCGAGGACACATCATCGCGCAGGTCCGTCGGATTCTGCAGAGAGTATTCTATCCCCGAATCAGCCGACGTCACCATTAGTTTCTCCTGTCTGACGGAATCTATTGAGCTAACGCTCGCCTCCAGACTCGACAGGGAGCCGTGGATCTTCTTCCCGAAGACCGGAGACGCGCTTTCGTTTGAGCTGAGCGACGTGTTCAAATAGTTGACAGGCGTGACGTCATTGGCTGACTCGACGCTGCTCCCCGCCGACAGAACGCGCTCGGGCCTCTGCCCGTCGTCGTCTGAGACCGCAGCCCTGACGGTCAGCCTCTGGACCTCGTTGAGACTCTCCACAGAGCCCCCGGATATTTCCAAGGACGAGCTGCTGTCGCGGAAATCGGCCAGCTTCTCACTCATGAGCATGGACACCTCGATATCGGAACTGTCCGGACTCAATTCGCTTTTAATCTTCTTAATAACTAAATTAGCAGGTACATTTGCACTATTTACACATTCACTATCTAAAACGTTTTGATTCCTCATCGATAGAACTTTCATTTCGTTTATTATGTTACCTAAGTCTTCGGTTAGTATTTCGATTTGTTTGATTGTCTTAACGCGTTTTATTGTCTCGTCGACGTCCGCGGGTCCTGCGGGTCCCGCGGGTCCGCTAGCGTCCGTCTCTGGCGCGTTTTCACTTAAAACACTTCCCCCGTCACATTCACTATCACATTCGCCAATCGTCACATCACTAATTAGCCCATCCTCAATCTTATCAGTCTCTACGTTTAGCTCGGCGCTAATGTCCGTCACGTTGTCACATACAACGGGTCGGGGGTCAGGCACGCGCCTCACTTCAAAGAGCCTCGACAGAGGCCGCCCCCCCGGTCCCCGGGAGGGGGAACCAGTGACTTCCTCGTCACAAACACTCCCACTTACAGTTGAAACATAGAACGTTTTTCCTATCACGTTCTCTGATGTCGTACTTCTGTCACTATTAGCTTCGGCGTGAGCTTCGTCTTCGGCACGGCGCACTTCAATCGTTTCGCTTCTACCAATAATCTCTTGAATGTTCCTCTTGAACTCGATAACGGTTACATTATCGAATTCATTCTTTGATTCGTCTCTCCGATCGGAATCGGCAGCTTCGTCAAATTTCGCTTCGTCTACACCCGCTTCAACATCGCGGACGGCGTCTCTTGTTACATTTGCAGCTTCCACAGCAAGTGCTTTAGGTAGATCTTCGGTTTTCGCTTCGGCGGCAGTGCTTTCAATGGGAGTTTCATCTCGATCTGTTTTGTTCGTTTGCGCATCCGTATGTGTCTTTTCTGGCGTCCTTTGTTGAGGATCGTACGTGGTGTCGTAGTTCCTGGTCACCGAGAAGCGTGAGGGTGGTCGTCTCTGGGTGGAGGCCGCGTCGATTTGTACTTGCAGCGGCTCTACCACCTGAAGGTAGAAGAGTTAATCAAAGATTGCTACCATGTGTTAGTATTTCTGAAGTGATAACTCCATATGGGAGGCTAAACCGCTTCTTAAAAGCCGTATAAAGGCATCTTGTCTGAAATTATAGTTTGCGTAATTACTGGTGGTAGGACCTCTTTTGAGTCCGTGCGCCGGTAGGTACCACCACCCTGCCTATTTCTGCCGTGAAGCAGTAATGCGTTTCGGTTTGAAGGGTAGGGCAGCCGTTGTAACTATACTTGAGACCTTAGAACTTATATCTCAAAGTGGGTGGCGCATTTACGTTCTAGATGTCTATGGACTCCGGGTAACCACTTAACACCAGGTGGGCTGTGAACTAGTCCACCCATCTAAGCAATAAAAAATAATAATAATAATAATGAAATCAATACAAAAGGTAATCTGTACCTGTACGACTTTAAAACGTGAAGGCGTCGGGTAATCTGTGCCGGGGACCGTCGCCGGACTCGGGCTGTCCCTGGGGTCCCGCTCCGGCGTCACCCTGGTCACCTGGACGCGGTCACATCATACGAAGACATGAGTGGATGAGGGGATTCAGTACAATTTATTAAGATTTTTGAATTTTTACATTGAACCTTGAATTTTTACATTGAACCAACACCTTAACAACTTAATAAACTTTCGTTATTCAACTGAGTTACCGGCCTGGTACAATAGGCAGGTATCTTCGATACGGCGCGTATTGTGAGGAAGTTTCTAGCTCTGGACTCCTAACCACTAGTAAGGTTAATAAGATTTTAAATAAATACAGTAGAGAGGCTATTGAGGGACCACTGGTTATTATTATTATATGGTCCCCCAGTAGTCTATATTCGATAATTAATTGAAATTATAAGTTTGAACATTATCATTGTTCTATTGTCGAAATATTATACTTCTATAATCACAGATTTCGCCAAGACTACACTATAGACAAATAACATTAAAAACAAAGAATATTAATTCTCAATTTGACCACAGACTTTAAACAATAACAAAAGTTTGACAATAAAGCTCTCTGTTGCACTGAAATGGAATAAATGGAATTCATTGGAAAAGTGACTCTTAATTAATGTCACTGCCCGCAACGCTGACGTGATCATTTTAAAAACACCATGGAATCAGCCTCTCCAATGCCTCCTGTCATCCAATGACTCCTTTGGTCTACTTTTGGACTACACAGGAAGGTCATATTCTGGGAGCTTATGTATAGTTTATTGCGGGAATAGAACCATACTCACAGAAAACCTGGAGGCGGCGTGTATCGTGGGCACTGGGCTTCCGGCGGGGGAGGGCGCGGGCGAGGGGGCGGGGGAGCGCAGTCTGCACGCGCGGCGCTCCTCCTCCGGCCGCAACGACGACTGATGCGAGAACAAACAAAACGAACACCCTGTATATGTATGTATGTGTATGACGACTGAAGCGAGAACAAAACGAACACCCTGTATATTAACTGACATATTGCATACATGGTAATGGAATTAAATAACATCGTGTAATAAAAAACAAACCCGCAAAATTATAATTTGCGTAATTACTGGTAGTAGGACGTTTTGTGAGTCCGCTCGAGTAGGTACCACCACCCTGCCTATTTCTGTATTAACACTTACAACACTTAACCAACACTTTAAAATTCTCAATTCGCTTCAGGTGATCTGATCGCTGTTTCGCTTCGAGTAGGTAGTTCCGATTAAACTGCGTGCCATCTCTACAACGCTTTTAAAGTCGACATCCCTACATTTATCGAGAACGTTCTGGGCAAGTCGAGTGGCTTCGACGTGTTTCCGCTATCTGACAATAGATGGCGTTGTACTTCTCGAGCGTTCTCGGTGTTGCTAGTTCTTTTGATATTCGTTTCTGCTATTCGACAATAGATGGCGTTACTCTTACCGGGGCGTAACAATAATAAAGAAATCGAACCTCACCTTTAGTACAGTTGTGGTGTTACAAGTCAAGCTGATCTTTCGGTGGGTCCGTGACGTGGGCTCGGTCGCTACTGGTTCGTTCCTGCGACACAGCGCTCTGATCTCTCGCGTTAGACGGGATACGGTCGCAGCCTCCTGGTCCTCGGCCGCGGGGAGCGAGTCCGGCGAGTCCTGTCGGGAAACTGTGTCTATAGTAGCGTAGTATAGGACTCTCGGCTGGATGTAGGTCGGATCTGTGTCTGTTTGTGTACGAGAAGAGCTCGGGATCAGTACAGAGCTGCAGAGGACTGTGTCTATAGTAGTGTACTATACAGTTCAGTGGAGCCGCTTACCGCCTGATCGTCCAGGTCTATTTGCGTGAGGGTGGTGTTCTCCCTGAGGGCGTTGAGTATGGCTCGCAGCCCGACACTCCCTAGCTTGTTGTCTCGCAAGTCCAATCTCTGAAACACAACAAGTAAAATGCGTTAGGTTTATAGCGTCTCACTTACCCCCTACTACATACGTTGCATGATTTGGGGTATTTTTTCCCTACTTATGCTGATAGCCTTGGGAGGCTAACTCATATGCTCGATGGATATCTTCCCTTTGTCGTTTACATCTACAGACTTAGCTTTGAGACGGAGAGGGGAGGGTCTGACCTGCAGCCTGGTGTCCGCGATGAGGCCCGCGAGCGCCGGCGCCGCGTCGGGCCCGAGCCGCGCCGCCTGCAGCCCCAGCGAGGCCAGCGACGAGCCCGCGCGCGCCGCCCGCACCGCGTCCCCGCCCACCGCGTTGCGCCCTATGTTCAGCACGCACAGCGACGAACAACCGCGCTGCCCAATACAAACGCCACTATCAATACGCCTTTAAGGTATTATAAGGTATAAACAAACAAAGAGAGGAGAGAGAGAGAGGGAAAGAGAGATGGGGGAGGGAGAGATGGGGGAGGGAGAGATGGGGGAGGGAGAGATAGGGAGAGGAGCGAGAGAGAGATAGGGAGAGGGGGAGATATGGAGAGAGCGAGAGAGATAGGGAGAGGGGGAGATATGGAGAGAGAGCGAGAGAGATAGGGATAGGGGAGATATGGAGAGAGAGGGAAAGAGATAGGGAGAGGGGGAGATATGGAGAGAGAGCGAAAGAGATAGGAAGAGGGGGAGGGATAGGGAGAGGGAGAGAGATAAGAAGAGATAAGGAGAGGGGGAGAGAGAGGGATAGGAAGAGAAAGAGAGTATTCTTTATTGTACACAAAATGAATAAGCTGCGAAACATTAACCAACCGCCTTTCAAACCGCAACGGAGTATTGCGTTACCAGCGGAGTCGCTTACCATCAAGCTGGAGGATGTTCATCTGCCATTGATACCAATAACAAGACCGCCCAAGGACGGCAGCCGGTGTACTCACCAGAGCTTTGCTGAGGTGCACAGCGCAGTTCCTCGTCAACTGATTGTTCCAGAGCACCAGAAACGAGAGACCTCTGACTTCGTGACCTGCGAAAAGATAATTAGACCATCATTATTTTGTTCACATCTCTTAAATAATTTAATTTAGACTCTGTATCTTTTGTCGTGTACTGAATAATAGTTAGGATAAGTTCATGTAAAGGCAGAGACTATAGCGCTGAGTCAGGGTTCGAATCCCGACCAGGGTCAATAATTTGTTATAAGCCTTTTACATTACGTTTGATTGACGTATGTAGTTTATTTGAGGTCCCGAGTCACATACCCTGACCGTACACCGGAGACAGGGGCGAAGCGACAGCCGAGGGAGGCGTCAAAGCCGCCTGCTCGACCAGAGCATCAGCTATATGTCCGACACCAGAATCCTGCAACGGAAAACGAATGAATGAGGAATAGTTTTTCTGACTGATGGTGCCATACAGAGTGTAAAGTCTGTCGCTTCATTTGGAATGCTGTGAGTAATTCTTCTCAAATAAAGCAATAAAGAGTCAACTGCAGAGATAAAATTAGGCTGATTGGTTGCGGTCTGTCTAATGCCTATCGGCGGATCGGAATCACGACCTATTGAGAAGATCCGGGAAGAAACTCAGTGGGTTATGTCTGTGAGCTAGGTTGTATGTCGAAGTTTTCGTCGCATTCGACGAGAACGGTGACCGGTGCTTGGAGTATCTAAATGCACCGAGTGGATCTTTTTTTTTTCTCGTTTTCGCCCTAACGTTGTCAGGGCTCTTATTTATGTTTATATAAATTTGTTCCCATATTTATTTAGGGTACTTAAGAGTTTTTGATTTTAAATTTTTTCCTTCCAAAATTACATAATATCCAAATAGAAATATATTAAGTTACACTATTTTTTTAATACAACAATTCCCCATGCTTACCAGGCCATATTATTCCTAATAAGGTGAAAGCATGGGTCAGGCTTCTTTATTCCGTTTTATTATTCGTTCGGCTATTTTTGTTGCGTACTCCAATAGGATGCCCCTTTCCTTTTTACTATGCATGATGTGGCTGATGCTGTTTAGGCTCAGCCCCATCTCTAACTGCACCGAGTGGATCAGAAGGATCCGAAATAACGACCATATATTATTTACGACCTCATACCTCAAAGCGTTCGGCTGCATTCACGCTGCTACATGGACTTAGGTAACCACAGGATCATAAAGGGTATCCTAGTCACATTTTCGTGCAGAATTTGACTGAATCCGATCGGATCCCTGACCTAAGTGTCTCGAAACTTCCGGAGCCATCTCCCGCCCAGATCTGCTCACACAAATGCTGCAACTGGCCAAGCGTTACAGCGTCACGACCGGAACTAACCTGTATTTGGTTGTTCGACAAGTCCAACAGTTGTATGTTTGTGTTGTATCTCAGTAACGAGGCGAGCTGGACCGCGTCCGATGAACTCAAGTTATTATCGCCCAAACGTAGCTCTCGTATCGAGCTGTTCGATTTTAGCGCTATGACTGAAATTAACAAAACAAACAACATCATTTATAACTTTAGTCAGTATTACATCGGCACACAAGTTCAAAGCTCGAAATCGCTTATATCACAGTACAATGCTTGCTTCCTTTTTGTATATAACCTTCCTTATGATTCTTAATTGTTTATTCTTATTTACGTGTAAAGGAACAAAAAATATGATTAAGTTACATTATGTATTTGTATGTATATATGTAAGGATTTTGTGTATGTTTATATACATCAATTGATTAGTAAACCGCGTGTAATTAGTTTCCAAACGATTCTTTTCCACCTGATGGTTGTCTGGATGAGATCGCTCTTAGCGATAAGACCACCAATTATACTTTTTTTTGTATTTAATGTTTCGCATTGTTTCTTTTGTTGGTGTACAATAAAGAGTACTCTGTCTCACTCTTTCACTTCCTTGTATTATCTTATCACGCATCACTCTTATCATCGTGCGTATTACACATCACCAATTTCAAGACGAGAAATCGAAATGTTTATAAGTAAGTATTGCGGCTTTTCGGTAATGAGCTGAATAAATATTTTAGAGCCAAGTGAGCTGTAAGAAAACCTGTCAACGGCAATAGAGGACCCGACTTACCAAGGGACAGTAATGGCTCTCCACACAGAGAGGCTCTCTGAAGACACAGGGCTCGGATCCTGCATGTGTGGGTCCTGAGGGCGCGTGCTATGGTGGGGGCGTGGGACGCTTCCAGGGGACCCTCGGTCACTTCTAGTTCCGTCAGATCGGCACTCTTGAAATATAGAACACTGAATCAAAAACAATTTGGTACTGTTGGTGGTAGGACGTCTTGTGAGTCCGCACGGGTAGGTACTACCGCCGTATTTCAGCCCTGAAGCAGTAACGCGTTTCGGTTTGAAGCCATTGTACTGTCAAAACTGAGACCCTTACAACTCATGTCTCGAGGTGGGTGGCGGCATTTACGCATTTAGATGTCCATGGACCATTTAACCAACTAACCAAAAAAATTGATTTTTTTGTTTTTTCTCTCAATTTCCGCCAGACATTGAAGTTCATGGACATGAGTAAGAGAGACGCCTTAGCCTCAATGACATTGAAAACCTCGCGAGTTTGCCCTAATGGCAGAAGCTGGCAAAACCGTGGTACCTACTCGTGCGGGCTTACAATACGGCCTAGTAGTGCCCAAATAAAAAAATGCTGGTTTGATTTTTACAGTACGCATCGTATAAACCATTCCTAAGCATATGTCGAGTATTTCCTTAAAACAATGTGTATCTGTCTCCGGTATTGGAACACCGGTACCGTCGTGACTCTTGATATGAGTACAGCAGGCACCTCATCATTCAGCCATGGTACGAAGCACCCACCTTCTTTATCATCCGGGACGCGGCCTGCCAACCTCTGATCCCGAACTGCCTCGGACCACTGATGGACACGACGACAGCGCTCTCGTAATACTCGATCATATCGAAGAGAGCTTCCTGAAAACGGACAGTTTCACAGCCGATTTCAGGTCTATTCATTTATCTATCTAAATCTACAGTGGTTTTTACGGATGTTCCGTTATAACTACTGAACCATGCATCCGATTGATTTGAAACTTGGTATCCATGTAGAAAATACATGTACTTAATGGATAGGCTGATATTTATATGAGTTTTAGACTCCCTACACCAGTTGCGGGGGCGTTAATGATGAGAATCTTTGTGGGGGTAAGAAATAATAATGTTAATTTTAAATGCCCAGCGAGGCGGACGGGTACAGCTAGTTTATTTATAACTTTCTATACTTGACAGTATAAAGGCGGACTTAATGCCATAGGCATTCTCTGACAGTCTACCTTAGGGGAGTGCAGAGATGAACCTTGGTAGGTACAGTGTTATATTGTTATATGTTACTTAAATATACGTATACATATAATATACATAGCATTTATAGATACAAATACTCGTAATTAAATAAATACATATAGATGAATATATATCTATACTAATATATAAATCTACAGTGGTTTTTTAAGGATGTTCCTTTAAAACTACTGAACCATGCACCCGATTGACTTGAAACTTGGTATCCATGTAGAAAATACATGTACTTAATGGATAGGCTAATATTTATATGAGCGTTAGACTCCCTAATAATAATGACAATAAATAATAATGTTAATTTTAAATGCACAGCGAAGCGGGCGAGTACGGCTAGTATACATATAAAGATATATTTAAATAAATATCAGTTACACGACTATATTAGAGGACTCTGCTAGCTCTCGGAGAAACAGTTCTCGAACCCTAGTCTATTCCATGCGGTCCAAAATTACAGCTTACATAACGAGCCCCCAAACATTAGACGTTTGAGGGACCGCGGGTTGAAACTCAACCAGACCTAAAAGCCCTTCATGACATCACGAGGCTGCACGAAATCTGTCACGCCTAGGGCAAAGTGGCTAGAAATCACAACTAGTGTTGTGACACCTACATCTAAGAGGTTTATATATCGATAGTAGAACAGCTAACCCGCTCTTCGAACCAAAACGATTGCTGACGATTACATTGCGACAGAAGAGGCAGATCAGTGTTGTCTGTGTCACCAAAAAGTCTCGAACAGCGATAATGTAACATTATTAGCAATTAATTATTCTGAATAGGGTATTTCTAATTTTTATTCATTTTTATTTAACTTTTTTCTTTCTCCTACCTAAGCTGATAGCCTTGACAGGCTGTCAGCGTAACCTAACAAGTAGGTGAGCTCACGGAGATCAAACCTGACGAAGTTGTTAACATTGGCCCTAGCAAGAGCAGTGCTTTGCTGAAACTACCACCAGATCGGAATCACGACCCACTTAGAAGATCTGGCGAGAAACCCAGTGGACTATGTCTATGGGTTAGTTCCCTCGTAGAGTTCAACGATGACAGTAACCGGAGTTAGCGGAGACCACGATAAGAAAGTTATCCTATCACGCCGCTTTGTCTGGCCGTGGGGCGTTCTTTTTTGCCACGTACCATCCGGCTTTAGAATGAGCTCCCCTCCACGGTGTTTCCCGAGCGCTATGCCATTTACTTCTTCAAACGAGGCTTGTGGAGAGTACTTAACGGGAGACAGCGGCTTGGCTCTGCCCCTGGCATTGCTGAAGTCCACGGGCCACGGTAAGCACTCACCATCAGGTGTGTGCTCCTCTGCCTACAAGGGCAATAACAAAAAAAGCTGTCGTTCCTGACGCAAGAGTCCTGAAAACCGACTTCTGCACCTAATAATCAACGTCTTAGCTAAACCAACTCACGGCTCCTTCGTCGTCCAGTATCGCGTGGTCCAGTTCCAGTCTTCGGAACTGAACCCTCCTGAGCACCGCCTCCAGCGCGTCGACCGGCGCCGGACCCAGCAGCAAGCACTCGCATAGCGTCAGCCTGGGCGCTCTGGTTCCGCCGCCTATGCACGACTCCGGTAGCTCCTGTAAGGAATATTATTGAGCATCGCTGAAGCCCTTTCAAATTGTTAATCCTGTACAGGTAAATAGCAGATGACGTCGTGGCCTAAAGGATAATAAGTCCGGTTCGTTCGTGTCGAGCGAAGTCACTGTGCCGGTGTTTGCAGACACGTACCGGTTTTTGTAATGAATAATTAACTCATGTTCCCGAGTGAGTATTTACGTTATCCTGAAGCCATAGAGGACAAGTTAGTCGTCGTGGCCTAAAGGATAATACGTCCGGTGCATCAATCCCGCTGGCAATTACCAGTTTTTTCTAATGAAATACGTACTCAACAAATGTTCACGAGTGACTTTCACGGTGAAGGAATAGAATCGTGTAATAAAAATCAAACTCACAAAATTATAATTTGCGTTACTGGTGGTAGGACCTCTTGAGAGTCCGCGCAGGTAGGTACCACCGCCCTGCCTATTTCTGCCGTTAATGCGTTTCGGTTTGAAGGGCGGGGCAATCATTGTGCAGTAAAAACTGAGACCTTAGAACTCATATCTCAAGGTAGGTGGCGTCATTTACGTTGTAGATGTCTATGGGCCCCGATAACCACTCAACACTAGGCGGGCCGTGAGCTTGTCTACCCAACTAAGCAGTAAAAAATGGAAAAAAAATGGTAGCGCTTCTTGCGAACTAATACTGACACGTACCAAGTACAAAAGTAGTGATGGGTTCCGATTTGAGGGGATAGCAGATGTCTATGGCCACTTGGTCCAGTCGAGGCGTTACGGCTGTGTACCCCTAGACTGGGCCTGGTTGAAGAGAAGATATCATTACCCTGATCAGCTGCAGCACGGAGTCGATCGGCGTCGTGTTGTACCGCCTGCACAACTCCAAATAGTCCGCCGCTATCTGAGCGCGATTCGTTGCCGGAACTGAAAATATATAAATGTCACACATTCAATCGCATATGAAAAGTGCTAAAACACAGCCAGGGAGATTCAATGCAGAATAACACTTTACAAAACACACACACACACGCATAAACACACCTATAACACACACATAATATCCTTTTCTTTTTTTTTTTTGCTTAGATGGGTGGAGGAGCTCACAGCCTACCTGGTGATACGTGGTTACTGGAGCCTATAGACACCTACTATGTAAATGCGCCACCCACCTTGAGATATAAGTTCTAAGGTCTCAGTATAGTTACAACGGCTGCCCCACCCTTCAAACCGAAACGCATTACTGCTTCACGGCAGAAATAGGTAGAGTGGTGGTACCTACCCGCGCGGACTCACAAGAGGTCCTACCACCAGTAATTACGGAAATTATAATTTTACGGGTTTCATTTTTATTACACGATGTTATTCCTTCACCGTGGAAGTCACTCGTGAACATTTGTTGAGTACGTATTTCATTAGAAAAATACCGCCTGCGGGATTCGAACACCGGTGCATCGCTACATACGAATGCATCGGACGTCTTATCAGTTAGGCTAAGACGACTTTCCAGTTTTTACGGATGTTCCGTTATAACTGCTGAACGATGCATCCGATTGACTTGAAACTTGGTATCCTTGTAGAAAATACATGTACTTAATGGATAGGCTAATATTTATATGAGTGTTGGACTCCCTACACTAGTTGCAGGGGCGTCAATGATGAGAATCTTTGTGGGGATGAGAAATAATAATGTTAATTTTAAATGCCTCGCGAAGCGGACGGATACAGCTAGTATATAATAATATATAATACAAAATATTCCTCCTCATCCTAGCGTCGCTTCCTCACTGCTGAGTGTCGTGACCATTATGTTTAGACAGGATTTTAATTTTTTATTATTTCTTTCCAGCGTTTCCAATCATTGGCCGCGTGAAGGGCTTCATGAAATCAGGCTGCGCCCGCGTGATCCCTTTATCTCGGCTTTAACGATATCTTTAATATAGTATTTTAAAGTTAGGTATACTAGTGGTCCCCCGGTAGTCGAAATTCGACTATAATTAATTGAAATCGTAACTTTGTATACCATTATGATTCTATTGTCAAAGACTATTATACTTCTATAATCACAGATTTCGCCAAGACTACACTTTAGACAAAAAAGGTATTAATAAAGACGAACATTATTTAATCTATTCTCAATTTGACCACTAACTTTAAGCAATAGGAAAAGTTTGACAATAGTCAAATAGTATGCATGCGTGTGTGTGTGTGTGTGTGTCAAATACATGGTAGTGTGTGTAATGTTCTTTTTATTGATTTAATGTATTTTAAATGCATAATTTACAAAATATATTAGCATTCTGCACTCCTTCTCTATATTCTCTATAAGTGTGGGAAATTTCATACTCCTCCGTCGGCGCAATTTTCGTAAAAAGGGGTATAAAGTTTTTGCTACACATATTAATATATAGATAAAGACCAAATAAGTTTTAATTACTTCAGTGCGCCACGTAGGACACCGGTGATCTGCACGGCAGTCAACGTGTCAAAATCATCACAGACAGGAAATAATCGGGGGTCATATAAAAAAAATACGGGATTATCTTTATCGGTAGAGATAATATCTGCGAAATCAGCATCTTTCAAATACAAACTCTAAGCCTTATAGGTTAAAATGTATTATTCGATGTAGCTGTAACAGACTTCTGTGACTAGACGACTAGCATTCACAAAATTATTACAACGATAATTTAATCTATTGTTAATAATAAACACTGTTTGAAATGAGTAGATGGATTTATCTACCTTTATAACCTTTTGGGCTTTTTTTTACCTATCTAGCTGAGTGCCTTGAGAGGGTATTTCAGTGTAACCTTAACTAGTAGGTGAGCTCACGGGGCTTAAACCTGACGACGTTGCTAACACGAACCCTAGCAAGAGCCGTGCTTCGCAGAATCTGCCACCGGATCGGAAACGCGACCCACTGAGAAGATCCGGCGAGAAACTCAGTGGGCTGTGTCTGTGGGTTAGTTTACACGTCGAGCCCTTCGTCGCAAGAGACTGGTTCGACGAGGACGATGACCGGTGCTTGTGGTACCTAAAAGCACCGTTAGTGGATCGGGAGGATCCGAAATGACGTGTTTGGGGCGACGTCGACAGCTTTCCAATCTGTCTGCGGGATCGGGAATGTAGTTACCGGCCGCCACGATGAGAGGGTTCTCGTGTCGTGCCGCTTTAGTGAAGTGGACCTTTTGAGCGCGAGCCGTCGATAGAGCGACTCTCTATTTATGCGTATAAAGTGCCGAGCGTCGGAATACAGACTATTTGAGACAGACGTGTCTTAGCGCGTGCATATACATTATTATTATTTTAAAGTTAATAAAATTAATTTTTGTTGTCTTTTACTTGTGCGATTTACCTTTCAATTATCAAAAAGATTTATTATAATACTAAAATCTTGATTTTCAAATGCCGATAAAAGATCAAAATATCACAGTTTTCCGTTCGTCACACTAAAATCGGTGGTAAGCCCACAGACTCAGTTCAGCTGAGTTTCTCTTCGGATCTTCTCAGTGGGTCGCGTTTCCGATCCGGTGGTGGCGGTACTAGTGGTAGGACCTCTTGTGAGTCCGCGCGGGTAGGTACCACCACCCCGCCTATTTCTGCCTTGAAGCAGTAATGCGTTTCGGTTTGAAGGGCGGGGCAGCCGTTGTAACTATACTTGAGATCTTAGAACTTATATCTCAAGGTGGGTGGCGCATTTCTGTTATAAATGTCTATGGGCTCCAGTAACTACTTAACACCAGGTGGGCTGTGAGCTCGTCCACTCATCTAAGCAATAAAAAAAATATCTGCGAAGCACTACTCTTGCTAGGGCTAGTGTTAGCAATGTCCTCAGGTTAGAGCCCCGTGAGCTCACCCAGTGAATCTAGTATGACCAATACCGTCTTTACCATAAGGGCACACGGGGCCCGTGCCCAGGGGGCCCCGAAAGACCGACAATTTCTCTCACACGTTTATTCTCAATACATTTTTGTCGGGCAAGTTACACTTTTTCCACAAATCAGTAATCAGAAGGTATTTACAAGACATATACTATGCCTATAATAGAAGATTTTGCTCAACAGAAATCCCGAAAGAAACCGTTATCGAAATCGTAACCAAAAACCAGTCTAATTCTATTATCTAATATCATCAATTCTAAATCAATCAATTCTAATATCATTAATGGCATATTATATTATACTGTATTTGATTAAATACAATAAAAGGTCATACTCAGTTTTTTTTTTTTAAATTATAATTCGCTTTTTTTACTTTCCAAAAGGGCCTCAAATTCTTGTGTGCCCAAGGGCCCCATCCTAGTTTAAAACGTCCCTGAGTATGACCCTTCAAAGTCACTAGAATAGCCAGGCGAAAAAAAAAAACAAAAAAAAGGTGGGTACATAGAAAAATGAGAAATCACATAATCAAACATCGAAAGGCCGCATTAAACAATAAGTACCTACTCGTAATAAAACACTAAAAAATTCCAACATTACAATATATAGAGTTCCACATTAACATGTCAATGATATCATCGTATGACCGGATCGGACTAAAATTCGACCCGACGCCGCGGCGAGCCCAGAGCGTGTGTGAGTGACCTCGTACTTACATTTTTACGACAGACCTATTATACTTCGACGGACCTGAGGCTACTCTCATGATACGCACTAAGATTGAACCAGAAAACGTGGAAAAGAGAAATAACGACATGGATAACATCGGTGGCAACCAATTTATCAGATTTGAAATAGAAAAAAAATCCAAATACCCGCTATAGAAAGAAAATTAATTCGAAGATACGAAGCGAGCTAATTGAAAATTTAATTTTTTTAAAAACATGTGTCCAATTCACACGTGGTACAAGTCAAACCTTCAAAAATTTTGGCTTCAAGATAATGAGACTAATCAAAAATTTCCGGAAATGGATAATTGTAGGTTTTAGTAATGCGATAGTGATACAAAGTTTGATAATTATTTTATTGTACACTAGCTGACACGGCAGACTTCGTGTTGCCTCAATCGATAAATAAAAGACCTAAACTTTTGTATAAAACAGACTTAAAACAAACAAAAGGATTCCGTCCGACGGGGGACACATCAAAGGAAAAAAAAACAAAATTGTTATTTTTATTCAATTCCGAGAATTTTCATATTTATCTACCTTTTACACCTCCTCTGGACTTCCACAAATAATTCAAGACCAAAATTAGCCAAATCGGTCCAGCCGTTCTCGAGTTTTAGCGAGACTAACGAACAGCAATTCATTTATATATATATATAGATTTCATTCGTATATATTACATAGATTTATTCAGAATGTATTAAGTACGAATATTAGGTACGAAGCAGAGCACAAAGAGAACCACTAACTGCATAATGCTTCCCATCTCTTTTTCTCCCACGTTAAATCTTATGAATTTATGTCTCTGTCTCTTTTTACTGTCGCTTTTTCGTTTCATCGACTTTCGAATCACAACGTTGCTAAAGAAGTGTTTACTTCAAAATGCCCATCCTTTAATCGAGAAGATAGGAACCCAAGTCAAATTTCTAGACCTCAAGATAATAATATTATTATCACTACGTTGTGTTTGAAACCATAAATAACAAAAAGTAGACTTTTCGTACTTTAAAACAATTAATAACCAAAATAACTTATGTAATCGCTTTTGAAGTCGTCGCGGCTTAATAGATAAGACGGCCGGTGCGTTCGTATCGAGTGACGCGACCGTGCCAAGGTTCGAATCCCGCAGGCGGGTACCGATTTTTCTAATGAAATACGTACTTAACAAATGTTCACGATTGAATTCCACGGTGAAGGAATAGCATCGTGTAATAAAAATCAAACCCGCAAAATTATAATTTGCGTAATTACTAGTGGTAGCGCGTTATGTGAAATAGGTCTGCCTATTTCTTCCGTGAAGCAGTACCACGTTCTGGTT